GCTGAGTCTTGATGCATTCGCTTTAAACAAATTTTGCAAATGAGTCTTTTTTCCACTGTGCGAAAGTGGTAGGTGTTGTAACCTGAATCCCTACACTCAGACATTTCTATAATGCTGTGAACGATTGAGGAACGTAACCTGCCAAATGAAAGTGACAACATTATCCAGTGTGTCTAGACAGTAGGGTGAGTTCGTATAATCCAGTGTTATACAGGGCGTAGTAGGACGGTGGTAAAATCCGGCAGGATAAAATCACAGTTAATACGACTCACTGCTGTTAATGCTTGATCCAGGCATGAACAAAGTTGTAGTAAGGGAAACAACTTAGGGATTTAAAATCCAGAAAAAATGATAAAAATGACAAAATAAAAAGTACATTTGACAATGCATTAATTGCTACAAGAAACAACGCCTGTGGAATTGGGAATGCACATAGAACAAAAGCCGCAGCAGCGGCATTCAAACGGATGGGCAAAGATGACGTAAGGTTTATTGTCTAAATTGGGACGCAAGCATTTGTTATTGGCCAATTACATCGTGACTGACTGAAATTTAGCATCGACTTCTACGTATTATCCCTCATTGGTCTTAAAGAATTTCTAAATGAAATTTAGAAAGACAAAAAACCATAGTGAACTTTTAGTCCATCGTGATTATCTTTACTCAGAACTTTGAATATGGTACTCGGCATCAGCGGAGTCTTCCAGTTCGAAATTTTACTTGATTTGCTGTGTCAATTTTATTTAGTATTTATGGATGATTTTGAAAGCAGAAATCTTATGCAAATCTAATCAAGGTTTCGTATTGGCATAATTCAATGTTGCTAAGGATATCGTGGTTCTCAGCACAGTTTTGTGAGAAGTTCGGTAAAGTCTAATTTTCCTGTTATGACTTTTCGACTGAATAGGCATGAGCATCGTCACAGTTATCCTTATGAATTCTGTTAGACCTATACTGTCAGCTGCGTACTCCGATTATCTGGCCACACGTTTGCCAAGTTTGTAGTTTTCATGAACCTTTATTGTTCATTTGTAGATCCTGTTATATCAGAAAGTCGTAGTTCGCCCAAAAAACATTTTATTAGTTAGAACAAAGTAATGTTTCTTTTCGCATCGTGTCTTAGTAAATTTCTTGAAAACAAAGCTTTGGTTTGTCGAAGCTTAGTTGTGTAGCCGTTGCAAAGTTCCAGTTTCTCGTAATCAATGAATCACTGTTTTTCTCTAATGGTCAGTGACTGACCGTTTTTTAGGGGCCGTTCTTCTTGATAATGCATTTGTGTACAAAGTGCGAGGCACGAAGGAAAACGCACCAGGATAGTTAATCCATGCATGTACAATTTTCCATGATTGCTGTCTTTCCACGACGTATTTGTGATGATGCAAATATTGTTGCAGTTGAAGTCTAACAACTGTTCAGTCGAAATATGGTCATATTACTGAAAATAAGCGTCGAAGACAGCCATGGACAGTTGTGTTTTATGTATATGTATTCAGTGGAAACCAGGGTCGCATCGCAAGGCAGATGGCTGGTTTACATGTAAGACGTTATGCTGTCGCTCGTTGGAGACCGTACTACCGATCTTGCCCGTTTGACGGCTAACCGGGGACACTGAAAAGATTTAAAGGAGCTGCTCACGCGACTGGAAGGGATTAGCAACCGTCGAC